CCGGACATGTCACCCATTGAGCATGTTCGGGATGTGCTTGACCGGCGTATACGACAGCGTGTACCAGTTCCCACGAATATCCAACAACCTTGCACAGCCATTGAAGTGGAGTGGACCAACATTCCACAGGCCACAATTGACAATCTGATAGACTCCATGCGACGATGTGTTGCACTGCATGAGGCAAATGGTGGTCACACCAGATACTGACCGGTTCTGGGTCCCCAGACCCCCAATAGCGCAAAAAACTGCACATTCCAGGGTGGCCTTTTGTTGTGGGCAGTCTGAGGTACACCTGTGCACTACTCATGATGTCAGATCAGCATCCTGATGTGGCACACCTGTGAGGTGGGATGGATTATCTCAATATAGCAGATGTGCCCACTACCACACATTTGGACTGATTTGTGACCACTGTTTGGGAGGGATGGTTATATTGTGTATCTGGAATGAATTTTAGGTCTCTACGTCCATCCCATGGGGAATGGGAGCAGTAACAAAGGTGTTGCGTTTATATTTTTGTTGAGTGTATAAACAACGATAGTATTCAGGAAGTAAGTAAGTAAAACTTTATTTATATAGCACCTTTCAAGATAAAAATCACAAAGTGCTTCACAGAAGCTAAAACCTAAAAATAAAAATCAACAAAAAGCAAGTTTGAAGAAAACCAAACATTGCAGATTTTTTTTTTTAAATCACAACTCTGGTTTTAGTGACCTATCAACACGATTTAAAAACTGGTATAAAGTCGACTTTACTAACCCAAAATTGTTCCGTCTGTCCTGCTCACATCTCAAATGGTTGTACACGTTGTCATTAGCGTGGCTTCACTCCACATCAGCCACGTCGCTTTGCCAGCTAAAACACCGGTGTCGGCACATAAAGACGCTGTCATAGCCTGTCAATGACGTTGATATACGCATTATTGGCTGAACTATGGGATAAGGTGGCATCGTTCTAATCCCAAATGGTAGCAGCCAGTCACTGACTAACACTGCAAAACAGGATTGTTGAAGTATTAATTTTAATTTCAATTCAGGTTAGATTTTTTTTGTGCGCAACGCAGATTTTCTGTGCGCAGAGAGCAGTGCAGTGTGCGCAATTGCGTACGTGCGCAGCTTAGAGGGAACACTGCCCACCATCAGTCATTAATTTTGATGACCAAGACCTATGATTGAAATTTTGCCTTGAAGGTCTTATTTGTCAGTTTTATATGTACAGTTCTGTTCTTCAATTCTTCAGTCAACAAGTTGTGAAAGCAGATTCATAGGGGCTTTGGTAGGTGAGAAGGGAATGCCTCAAAGGGAGAAAATGACCATGAAAATGACCCAGCACTGACTGACTGCCTGAAACAGTCAGGTAGTGTTGAAAGAGAGCCAAAGTCATCAAGTATGGAGCTGCTTAGATTGCTCTAGTTTCACTAACTCAAATCGATATCTCATTCAACATTTCTTTCAGCTATTATTGTGAAAAACAGAAGTGCATTCTTAATGTTTATATTCTATATTCTTTCTGCACCATTTACTATTTTCATTCATTTCCTTTTTAATGTTCTGAAACTGTCCATCCCTGCCCAGCTGCGCTCCTCAGAGGTATCCAGTCCATTTTTCTATCCTCAAGGATAGAAAATCAACGCAATCCTACAAGGATAGTTTATGTGGTAGGCCTGTGGTAGCCTACAGGAGGAAAAGGATTTTGACTGTTTGCCAAAGCAATCAAACAATATCACGTAGTATGTGGAATGCAGCTTTTTAAATCTTAAATTGTTTTCAAATTTCAAAACTGCTTCTTAAGATTTTGTGATTTTATATAGACCTCTTAATTTAGTGGTGATAATGGTAAATAAATGGTAAATGGCCTGTATTTGTATAGCGCTTTACTAGTCCCTAAGGATCCCAAAGCGCTTTACACAACCAGTCATCCACCCATTCACACACACATTCACACTCTGGTGATGGCAAGCTACATTGTAACCACAGCCACCCTAGGGCGCACTGACAGAGATGATAATCTTTATATCTATATATTTTTCTTGCCCTTCCACATTGATGAGGATTGCTGTAAAGGGGACAGCTGTTAACAACAGGCCAAGTTATCTATAGCAACATTTACTTGATCTCTTATTGCAAAACCAAAACACATCTACACCCATCTTACAGTGGCCAAACAGGTGTTCTTAAAATGTTCACAGTAGCATTACATAACTGCTTTGCCACTGTCCCTGTTATGAAAAAAATATACAAATTTCTAACAGGGCTTTCATATTTAAATATTTAATTTTTTTTTAAAAAGAAAAGAAGCACACAGTAAAATGCTTGGGGTCTTTTAATAGTGGTCTTTTTAACTGACCACATTTGCTTGAGAAATGTTATTGTAATCAGTGGGGTTTTGTGTGTGTGTGTGTGTGTGTGTGTGTTTTGTTTTTTAATGCTGGGACAAGGCATTTTAGAGACCGTAACTGGAGTAAAATTTTAAGGCACAGAGAAAAACACTCGTTTAACCATCTCTAGAATGAGGAAGGAGGTCCACGCCACAGTATAATGACCTCTTACACCAAAAGGATGTTTCAGAGACTAACCATGCAAGAAGAGCATGATACATACAGGAAGCTACTGTTTTGCTGCACCTATGATTCTGGATCTCTATTCCTTACATCTAGATTATTCAGTCCCACCATACCAGCATTTTCACTTCATCACAGTACCATAAAAATATACATTTTGCTCCGTGTGATGATGCAACCAATGTATATTATAACATCATGCGCTTTTCAGGTAAAGTCTTTAACAAGGGCGTAGATTTGGTTTTGACATTGGTGGGGATGGATGATTCAACCACCGAACCCTGCCCTGTTTCTTTTTTTTCTCCTTTTCGTCTTTGCTTCTTGATAAAAAAAAAAAAGGAGAAATATTCTGACCTACATATGCTATTCTACATGCTTTTAAACCATTTAAAATTACAATTCATAGTTTTATATGTGAATTATATAATGTTAAGTTACTATTAAACAAATAACTGACTAAGTATTTTATACTTTAGTTTACTTCAACCATATTCCATATAAATCAGATATCATACAAAAATAAAAATACCTTAAAATACAGTCATGACAATAAAAGAATATGACTTTAAGGACTTAACAACATTACTTCAGTTATAGTACACCAACATCTCTTATACATTATCACTAAGGGAACACTGAATGACCTGGTGGTTTTTGTCAATAAAACTACTCATCTAAGATTACCACAAAGTAACAGATCTCTTAGCAAAATTATGCAACATTTTAGGCACACTATTGCCCCTATCAAGTCAGTGAGCTGGATGTTTTACTCTAAACATGAACTACTGTTACAGCAACAGACATGGACTACTGGTGTCCCACACAACAACTCAATGTCTTTCATGAACTGGCTGTGTGGAGGCAGATGAGGACCCAAACGCAAAACTCACGGAGACAGGAACTGAACTCAAAATCACTGCTTCATTGCAGGCTTCACAAAGAAACATAACTAAACTGGGAATGCTAACAGAAGACCGAGGGAACACAGAAAGACACACAGGTTCGGGGAGGAGACATTGACGACACGACACTGAACTGAGGGAGACATGCACATAAATACACAGAGGGTTAACGAGGGAAGTCGGAGCACACGGGGAACACAGCTGACACAGATAATCGTAACGGGACAGGGCAGGAGTGAACACAACATGAGGCATACTGACGAGAGACTGTCAAAGTAAAACAGGAAGTACACAGAGGTGCAGACAGGAGGAGAGAGAGCACGGGCATAGTGGGCTGGGGAAACATGGAATGAAACACGAGGGGAGACGAGGGCCCACAGATACATAGAGGGGCACACAGGGGATAAAAGTCACAAGGGGAAATCAAATAAGGAACAAAATACAAAAAGACATAAATACTAAGACTGCTGGGCCAACATGGCCCAGGATCATGACAAATGTCCACTATGTGAAGGAGCCAAACACATGCCTTCTCCTCTTATTAACTGAGATAAACTGCTGGCATATTTGTTTTACATCTATACTGTCCAGTCTCTCCTGGTGGACATGGTAACGCGTTATTCATGGTTACATACAATTTTAGACTGATGTGGGCCAAAGCCTAAAACGATGTGCTGGGAGTTTGCTGTTCTCCCAGGTTCAGATATTTGAAGTTTGCACAGCTACATTCTCGCCTGAAAATTTTTTTAAAGTTTATTTTGCAACCCAGAAAGAGTAATAAGAGGGGCATGTATTGCCTTGCATAGCCTGTAACGTTATTATGATGGACAGATTTTATGAGTGAACTTGGCTTTAAGTGACTTACAGGTTTCTTTGAAAAACACTTTCTTATATCCAGGTTCTTTCTTTTTGCTGCCATCCTCCTCTCCTCCTTGCGGGTCCTTGCAGCGCAGGCTTGCCGCTGCTAAAACTAAACACAGCTCCCTGAAAGGCACAGCCAATCGCATTGGCCATATTTGTCACATGATATAGGACTCCAGTAGAGAACGTAATTTAACTCTTTCTGCACCGCTGGGTGAATGCCAAATCTACGCACTTGGTCTTTAATAATAATGTTTTTAAAAGTACATAATCAGTTTGCAGCAAGCAGAAAAACAGGAATGGGGAGTAACCCGACTAACAATGCAGGAACAACATAAAGAATACAGGAAGCTGCAGGTAATAGAAACAACATTTTTTTTCGATGACCAAGCATTTGTCTGTGAACAAATGTGGGTGGGGTTAAGGTCGTGTTTATTATATCCAAACTGTTGCTGACGGAAGAGACGAGAAATGAAACTTAACTGAGACCGACGGTTGCAGCCAAAATGAGTCCAGGGTATGCTATCCAAGTCCCGCTGTTGTCGATCAGACTCACATTGGGATCAGTTGACAAATAGGACCTTGGTTTAACGGTAAGCATTATTAGTGGTATTATTAGTAGTAGTAGTAGTAGTAGCAGTAGAAGTCTCATTATGTGTATACAAAATGATTCTAAACGTGAATGTGGATTTTTTTTTTTTTTTAATGGCCGGTATTCGGCATTTTCTCATGGTTATCAAATTGTTTATAAAACATTGGACAGTGCGAAACCGACTGTTAATGTCACACTTCAGTAACTCTAGTTTCTTTATAAGTTTTATTATAATAAGTGTTTTTTTTTCTTGTTCCTCTGGAACCATTATAATAGTAATAATGTAAATTATGCTCTGTGTGATGACACGACCAATGTATATCATAACATCATACGCTTTTCAGGTGAAGTCTTGTTTTTTTTATTTTTTTAAAGAAGTCAATAATCAGTTTTCAGCTAGCAGAAAAACAGAAATGGGAGGGAGGCTGAAGCCCCTGCATCATCAGACTAACCGTGCAGGAACATCATAAAGAATACAGGAAGCTACTGTTAAAAGGAGCAGCATTATTGCTGCTGACGCAAAAGAAGAGAAATGAAACTTAAGTAAGACTCCAGCTGAGTCCACGCGATGCTGTCCAAGGACATCAGTCAGTGAAAATATTAATGGTATTATTATTATTATTATTATTATTATTATTATTATTATTATTATTATTATATGGGGAAGCCCACGTTACACCTGGTATTGTATTTAAAGATGTGTAATTACGCCATCTAGCGGACTTTAGACCCGCTTTACTTTTTCTACGTGGTTATTTATTGTATATAAATACAGACGTTTTAATAATGGTGGTGGCAAATGTCACTACTCGGCAGCCATCTTGAAGCGCATCGGGGCACTTCCTTAGGCAGTTATTTAGAAGCATTATCTCAATAAGTTTAAATTTCAGTGGTCATTAGGGTAACTGTCTATATATCACAGGTCTAATTTTATAAATATGGTTTTGCCCCATAGATTTAATTTCTGGGTTTATGAGTTATATTTTCTTATGATGTTTCTGGTTAAACACTGGTAGCTCAAATGCGAGAATCCTTTACAGACAGAGAGAATTCTTAATAGAAATCTGAGGGAGTTTAGTAAGCATCTTGAGTAAGTGACCTACAAACTGACAGGCTAATGCAGAGGCCGGGGTTCAAATTCACTTCAATTTGCCGTTTGCCTCCCCCTGCTCTTTCTCTCAGCTCCCAGCTGTCTGGTCTTATCTCCACTGCACTGTCGCAGTAAAGACACAATAGAAAAAACAAACTAAAATACCTGGAGCCACCAAATTTCTGAAAAGCAATAGCTTCCTCTACCACCCTAAGTAGACTATAGACTGCATATCTAGGTAGACTTAGTGCTTAGTGATTCTCAAAAAACTAGGAAAAACTTAACTTTGATTTTTGGTGTGGTTTGAATCCAGATCTCAAAGGGCAACTGTTGTTGCATAATTTTGTTTCAACACATTACACAATGTACAACCCCTCAACAAATTGAGAAACCACAAGATTTGCAAGATTTGCAAATTTCATAAACCCATATGTTATACACAATTAAAGCATAATTGGGGAGGGCTTGCATTTTTCAGTAAGACAGTGCTTATTGCAGCCATAGCTCCTACTACAAAGAAGACCCTGGGTGCTAAACTGCTTTGCCTACAGTCCAGAAGTGATTCTCCAATTTACTTAATCCATTTACTTAATATTGTAAACTGAATGTAATCAAAATTGTACTTAATATTAAATATGGCAAATGGCCTGTATTTGTATAGCGCTTTACACTGCATTCAGTCATCTTGAATGTGTGTGTGAACAGTGTTGGTCAAATTACTTGAAAAAAGTAATCAGTAACTAATTACTGATTACTTCCCCAAAAAAGTAATCCCTTTACTTTACTGATTACTTATTTTCAAAAGTAATTAATTACTTAGTTACTTTTTAAAAACACGATTTACAACTAGGGCTGCCACGATTAGTCGACTAGTCACGATTATGTCGACTATTAAAATCGTCGACGACTGATTTAATAGTCGACGCATCGTTTGAAGCTTTGTAAGATCCCAAAGGACGCAGGAATGAGTAGTAGGATTTAAGAGTGTAATAACGGACTGAAACAGAAGATGGCAGCACTGCATGTACAAGGATGCCAGCTGCCGTTAAACCCCGAAGAAGAAGAAGCTGTGTCCCAGAATTCATAGCGCAGCCCAGCGCAGTTGTCAACAATGGTGGCAGCTAGTTAGTTTTAACTTTACTCTTATTATTCTTTCTGGGTCACAAAATAAACGTTTAACATATTTTCAGGCGAGAATGTAGCTGTGTAAACTTCAAATATCTGCTCAGTTTATCAAGACACCACGTATTTTCAAAAGCGCTCCGACGTTTTCGGAGACGTCTGTTACCTACTAGCTCATTAGCTAGGCGGGGGCAAGGCTAACTAGAGCCGTGAGAACACCGGACTCCCGGCAAATCGTTTTCAAACCCACCGCCGTCTTTCACTAGTCAGGTTAAACATATATATAAGTCACTTAGATAACTTAAAAATGTTATTGTTTGGCTTTCTTTAGTATTTTATTTGTTCCTGAGTAAATCGGTTTGGCTGAGATTAAAGTTATAGTTTTTGCACAGCTAAAACTGTCAAGCAGACAGCTGATTGTCAGAAGTGTGAGACGCTGGAGAATATACTCCGGTGTCCTGTTATATTTTAGAAAGCAAGGAGTTTATTAAACTTCACCGAAACAATCTGCAAATTTCATTAAAAATTTATAAACTACCATCTTGTCTTTATTTTTAGTTAGCACAAACACTTCAAGCTGTAAGCTAATGATAGTTATATAAGACCAGATGCTTCTGGTGCAATAAGCTGTACATCCAATGGATGATGATCTGATTAGTCGACTAATCGCAAAAATAATCGGTGACTAGTCGACTAGCAAAATAATTGTTTGTGGCAGCCCTATTTACAACCTGAATAGGTGATAAAGCGATAGATCTTTCAGCCCAATTCGACTTTTTCTGCATAATCATCATACAAAATGTAATCAAATGGAAAAGTCTCTTTTTAAAACTTGTTTTATTAGTTTTAATCTTTTAACTTCATGCATCAAGCATAAATGTAATTATATGCAACATTCTCTGACTGGAAGAAATTTGTTTAATATTTAAACCTATTTTCTGCACATTCCAGCACATTTTTTTTGTGTGTTTACACTCACTCTTTCAAATAGATGCAAGTAAAACACAGCAGAAAATAAATAAAGTCAAAGACTAGCGGTCCTTTTGCTCTATTTTCACCTGTAAAGCAGGAGTAGGGTAGGCGGAGGTTTACCCTGGTGCAGGTGTGCCGCAGAAGTCAGAGGAAGAATCCGCGAGTTTCTCTGTGAATTTCCCATTACGTGGTAGCTACTCGGTGCTTGTTCGGAAGTTTAGGGGGTTTTTTTGCTGTAAAAAGAAGTTTTCTTCCCACGCACAACGGACACTAATGTTTTTGTCACTTTTTATGGAATCAAACTCAAAGTAAGATCAGTACTTCCACGCTTTAAACGCTGCACGCTCATACTCTCGCCCGCACTGATATATTATCCATTGTTGCTCTGCACACAGCTGTTGTCACGAACGTCACACTTGCTTACGTCACTGTCATGAGACATTCTCGCAAAAAAATCACGTTTTTAGTAACGCAGCGTTCCTACGGGAAAGTAACGGTAATCTAATTACCGTTTTTGCAATAGTAATCCCTTACTTTACTTGTTACTTGAAAAAAGTAATCGTTACTCCCCAACTCTGTGTGTGAATCATTCAGTCATTCACACACACATTGGTGATGGCATGCTACATTGCCACTGTGATCAATTGAATAACAATGCCTGGCAGCATGGCGCACTGACAGAGACAAGGCTGCCGGACACTGGCGCCACCGGGCACTCTGAGGTGTGCAGTAGGCAACCAGTTGGCGACCAGTAGGCGACCGAGACTGTCTGCGCCAGGGCTCGAACCAGCAACCTTCCGATTACAAGATGAACTGCCAACTCTTGAGCCAGGTTCCAGTTTCATGTTCCCAGTGCCTTTGTTGTTTGTTTTTCCCTTCGTTAATAAATACTCACCTGCACCAGAACTGCCGCGTCCTGGTCCTAAATATTCCACACGGCTTGCCCTGGCAAACCGTGACAGTACGAACCAGCCACCATGGACCCAGCGGCAGTAAATCCGTCCGAGGAGCTCCGGGACGACACTACATATAATGTGGAGATTCTCCTTGGGCTGTGGCTAGAGAACCCTCCAGAGGAGCTTCGCCGCACCGTGGAAAGTCGGCTACAATGGCTCTTTTCTGGCCTGCCATGGCTTCTGAAGTCGCTTCCTCCGACCATGCAGGCTTTTCTCCAGCACACACCGCACCTTCTCTCAGCCACTCCTGCCTCGCTGCCCGACTCGCCGGATGTGATCTTGCCCGGCCCGTCGGAGCCGTCTGCGGGGAGGAAACGCCGATCGCACACTCTTCTCAGCTAGCTGCCCCGCAGCCACACTCTGCTCGGCCACCAGTGTCTCCCTCTTTTCAGTGCCTCCAGTGTCACCTGTAGTTCAGGCCCCTGCGCCTCCAGTGTCACCTGTAGCTCAGGCCCCCGTAGCTCCAGAGTCACCTGTTTCTCAGGCCCCCGTAGCTCCAGTACCCCCGCTACCCGTAGCTCCAGTGCCCCCGCTACCTGCAGCTCTGGCTCCAGTGTCACCGGTCTCACACACTCACTCTATGCAGGGAGAAAGTCTAAGTTCCAGTCAGGGAATTTCTCGCGCTTTAGCTGCTTCAGGCACCGTTCTGCACTCCAGGGCTTCCCCAGAGGCTAGGTCTCAGTCCCCGTCTCAGATTCTGGACCCCTGAAGTCTAAGCAGCCACCTGAGAACTGCACCATGTCAGCATTGCCTGGGCAGAGCCCGTGCTCAGTGCATTGCCAGTCGCCTTTGTGTCAGCTAGTGGCCTCCATGACTGCTGGCTTAGTGATGACTTCGTCTCCTGTCCCCGCTGGAGGGTCCGAAGGACCGCTCCGGCCTTCGTCTCCTGTCTCCGCTGGAGGGTCCGAGGGACTGCTCCGGCCTTCGTCTCCTATCTCCGCTGGAGGGTCCGAGGGACCGCTCCGGCCTTTGTCTCCTGTCTCCGCTGGAGGGTCCGAAGGACCGCTCCGGCCTTTGTCTCCTGTCTCCACTGGAGGGTCTGCAGCGCCTCTGGCTTCCACGCCGCCGCCTGCAGCGCCTCCGGCTCTGGCTTCCACGCCACCGCCTGCAGCGCCGCCGCCTGCAGCTCGTCATCCTCGCCTGGCCCAGCCTCCGTGTCTTCAGCGTCGCCTGGTCCAGCCTCCATGTTTTCAGCGTCGCCTGGTCCAGCCTCCGTGTCTCCGCCTTCAGTGTCGCCTGGCCCTGCCTCGTTTGGGTCTGCAGCTAAACGGCCGCTTTCTAGGCCGCTGGCCAGGCAACTGGCCAGGCGCCATCGCCGTCGTGGGCGGTTCCCAGACCCTCTTTGCCTGAGTGGCCGCCGTGGCCTTCCGCACGGCCGGCTCCGGCTTCCACGCCGCCGCCTGCAGCGCCTCCGTCTCCGGCTTCCACGCTGCCGCCTGCAGCGCCGTCTGGTCCAGCTGCAGAGCCGTCAGCCTCGTCTGGTCCAGCTGCAGCCTCGTCATCCTCGCCTGGTCCAGCTGCAGCCTCGTCATCCTCGCCTGGCCCAGCCTCCGTGTCTTCAGCGTCGCCTGGTCCAGCCTCCGTGTTTTCAGCGTCGCCTGGTCCAGCCTCCGTGTCTCCGCCTTCAGTGTCGCCTGGCCCTGCCTCGTTTGGGTCTGCAGCTAAACGGCCGCTTTCTAGGCCGCTGGCCAGGCAACTGGCCAGGCGCCATCGCCGTCGTGGGCGGTCCCCAGACCCTCTTCGCCTGAGTGGCCACCGTGGCCTTCCGCACGGCCGGCCCCCGGACCGCCATCGCCTGAGTGGCCGCCATTGCCTTCCGCACGGCCGGCCCCCAGACCCTCCTCGCCTGAGTGGCCGCCGTTGCCGTCCGCACGGCCAGCTCCCGGACCCTCTTCGCCTGAGTGGCCGCCGTTGCCTTCCACACGGCCGGCTCCCGGACCAGTGCTGTCGCCGTTGCCTTCCGCACGGCCGGCCCCCGGACCAGTGCTGTCGTCGTCGCCGTTGCCTTCTGCACGGTCGCCCCCCTGAACTGTTTGGACTCCTGTGCTGGCCGGCCCCCTGACCTCTTCTGTTTTGGACTCTGTTTTCCTGTGCTCTGGTGTGCTTCTTTTCTTTTGGTTTGGACTCGTGTTTTGTTTTTATTTTTGTCTTTTGGCCTTCTAGTGCTCCTGTTTTGTTTTGCCTTTGTTAGTTTTACCCAGTTTAGGTTCCAGTTTCATGTTCCCAGTGCCTTTGTTGTTTGTTTTTCCCTTCGTTAATAAATACTCACCTGCACCAGAGCTGCCGCGTCCTGGTCCTAAATATTCCACACGGCTTGCCCTGGCAAACCGTGACAACGTTATTGTTTCGGTGAAGTGAATTTCTACAATACTGTTACTGTTAATTGTTCTCTCTGCACTGTTTAAATGCTTACATATACACACACAGTTACTGTCCCTCCACACATACGACTCGGTTCTGCTTCTATGCCCCATCTTTGTTTACTATTTCCCACCGAGGCTTCTAGACTTCTGATTGGCCAACATTTCTACACAGTTAGGAATATATCGCCACCTGTTGCTTTGGCATGTTCTTAGCAGCGTTTTCCTTCATTTTTGCGTTTACATGTGGACGGGATTATTTTTTTTAAACGAAAACGGAAAATCTCCGTTTTCAAAAATACCTGTTTACATGTGGACGTAGCCTTAGATTACGATGACCTGGATGACTGAGAACCTTCACAGACACTATGCTCAAAGCAGTTCAGCTCTGGTGTTTTCTCTGTATTATTTCAAAGTGTTTACCTTATTACCAAATCACAACAACAGTCACCTCAAGGTGCTTTATATTTAAAGCGTGACTGTTGTGATTTAGTGTTATACAAATAAAATGTAATTGAATTTAACTGAACAGAATCTAACACCAATAAAATGCCTATATATTACAGAGGAAAACATTGCTAAGAATAAGTCAATGAGATTTTGTTTTGTTAACACCAGAACATGCAATTGAAAATATACTGAAGTGAATTAATATACCTCTATAAAGACTAAAAACTGTATGGCTATTTTTAAATTGAGCTGCTGAAAGTAAACGGTTTATTTAAGTCTGTCTAACCCGGAATGTGCCCCACTTAGTTTGCCAGTGCTGGTTACTAGCATCAGCATGGAAGTGGAAATCTAAGTTGCAAAAACACTTGAAATGCACTTTCTATGAAGTATGAGACATTTTGTATCCAATAATAGTAGTTTTGAGAATTAAATTAAATGTACATTGCTTCTCTTCACATCCCCAACTAAGTACTTCACTAATCTATCTTTACTGTTATATCTTATTAGTATTTTAAGTATTCTATCTATTTTATTTATTGAATTTTATTGTTTTATTTATATTTTGATATTGCTAGGGATGATGCAATGATCGGGGACCATTCTTAATTTCGTTGTTCTCATGACAATGACAATAAAGTTTCTGATTCTGAAGATTAAATGGCTGAGTCTTAGTAGATAATTTCTGCAGTGACTGAACACACTTCTTATAATTCTCTTTTTTTTTCCAGACACATTCAGGCCAAGCAAGAGATTCATCACCCACAAGACATTTCAAGGGTCATTATACATTTTTGTATTCAGTGCCTGGTTTAAAGATTATGATTGTATCAAAATGTCAGCAAGTGCTTCCAGACTGTCTCCTCTTTTATTGGTCTATGACCTCAAACTTGTTTGCACTCAGTGCTGTGTCAAGGAACAAGAAATTACATATAGATTGAAATCAGTTCAACACAAGTGCGGACACAATGTCCTGCTCTGCAAAGCCAAAGGTGGCATTAAATGGAGGCCCGTTTCTAGACGGCCAATATTTCCAAACCCAAATAAGTATATGGCCTGTTGGTACTATGTAGAGGGGCGTGGTTGCACCCAGCACAAGAACCGGTGCACCTTTGCCAGAAGTGATGAGGAAGCTGCAGTGTGGACATTTGAAAAGCACCAGGGATTGGATCACGCACTTCTCTGTAATCTCATTGCTGAGTCTGAGAGAGGAACTTGTCAGGCTAACATTGATGAACCTCTGGGTGACCTCTTGGCAGATGTAGATTTAAAAGCTGTGTGTAATTTGTGCTCTGTCAAGGTAAATGAAATAACATACAACGTTCAGTCAGTTGTGCACAAGTGTAGAAGATCTCTGCTACTAGCTAAAGGCAAAGCCTCCGACCTATGGAAGCTTGTCTCTAAGCGACCTACACTTGCTCAAACTGTTTGTTACAAAGTGTGTAAATATATTGCTGAGGACTCCAGATGCACACAACACACGCAGGGTCGAGGATGCACTTATGCCAAAAGCCTTGAAGAGGCCACTGTTTGGAACTATCTTAGAGAGAAAAAAATGGATAAGAATGAGTTAATCAGACTTTTAACACAGTCTGTCTCATTAACACCAGAACATGCAGCTGAAAGCATGCTCCGGCACTTTTCAGGTGAATTCATTGAGGTCTGTAAAGACTGCTTTCAGGAACACCCACAAAAACTAACAACCAAAAGGTGGAATGATTTTTGTGCGGCAGACATAGCACATGCCTGGAACCCAGTCTTAGTTTATCACCTATCAGAGAACAGCAGGAAACATGTCTACAGTCAGGTGCGCCCGCTTCCCCCAAACTGTCAGTTTACATATTGTAGTTATGTAATACAAGGGAAGCCCTGCTGGCACACTGCCAGTGAATGCCAGTCTGCCCAAAGTGAGGTGGAGATGGCTGTGTGGAAAGCAGAGCATACCGGGCTCTGTGTTCGGCGTCACCTACTTCAGCTGAGTCAACCAGCGCAGACACAGCCCAGGAAAGTGACCATGTACTGCAAAGTTTGCCACCTGAGTCTTTCTTCCCCAGAGAGCTTCTATAAGCACTGCGCCTCTTTGGAACATGCCCAGTTAGTCGCCCAGGACACCACTACCAGGTGGAGAGGACGCGAGGTGCCACACAACCGGCGAGCTGAGCTTTGGCTTTGTGAGAGGTAAATGGCTCCAGTTTCTTTCACCATGAAGGTTCTGTAAGAAGGCTTTAAGCAAATACACCAAAGCTTTTTTTTTCTCAGTTCAGTTTAGTTTAAGCTCATTCTGTCATGTAATTTGTTCAAAGCAAGGACAAACAGATGTGGAACAAGTATTCAGATTCAGATCAACTGAATATTTTAACTAAAGTGGTTCTGTTGTCTAAATGTAACTAAACAGCAAGTGAGCAGAACTGAAATAGGACATAGTTTCATGAGTTATGCTTCCAGCACCTCATTTGCCAGCTTATAAGCATTCTAAAACTAATGTTAGCACAGTGGCATGGTGATTAGAAGTCTAAGGAGCTTGGAAAGAAAAGCGTCTGGACTTCTTTAAGTTGCTTGAAGACGTTTCACCTCTCATCCGAGAAGCTTCTTCAGTTCTAAAAGTCAAATGGTGGAGAGTCCCAGTTTTAAAAGTGGGAGTATCCCCCCAAAGAGGGACAAAAGACAGGGAGTCCTTTGATGACCTAATCAGATGAGCCAAGGTGTGAAAATGGGTGTGGGTCACAATCAGCCAGGGTTTCATGTATAGAGGAGTGGGTGAAATGCCTTCAAGCAACTTAAAGAAGTCCAGACGCTTTTCTTTCCAAGCTCCTTAGACTACGATGACCTGGATGACTGAGAACGTTCACAGACATATGGTGGTTAGAACTGTTACCTCACAGCAATGGTCCTGAGTTCAATTCCTCCATCAGGCCTTCTGTGTGGAGTTTGCATGTTTTCCCTGTGTTTGTGTGGGTTCTCTCCAGGTACCCCGGCTTCCTCCCACAGTCCAAAGACATGCAGTTAGTGTGGATAGATTGAAAACTCTCATTTGCCCATAGGTGTGAATGTGAGTGAGCCCTAAGAATGTGAGTTAGCCCTAAGACTACTGGGCTAGGCTGCAACCCCCCAGTGACCCTGAAAAGGATAAGTGAATCAATGGATATTATGAATATGATAATGACATCCATGTTATTTTCATAGATGGTTTACAAAGCATTGCTTAACATTTTTCTTTTATTTTTTACTTTAAAAATATTTAGTAAAATTTATTTAATTATTTGATATCGATGTATATTGTAAAATGTATTTTTGTCAAGGAGCAAAATTCATAATCATAAACTGTTTTCATGTTCTGTCATACCATAGTAACAATCATTACAGGAAGGGAAATGTGTTTCAAATTACTTTATTTGTTTCACTCTAATCAGATAAGTTTATATCTTCTATGTTAGGGAACAACAGAAAAATATAAAGAATTTAAACCTAATTGTTTATGTCTATAGTGGTAAAAATCATTGAAGGACCATTTCCATTTCTTTTGCTAATTTGACTGATTCATTTCACTTATTATTTGTCGAACTTGTCATTTGATCCTAGACCCCAAACTTGTGAGTACGGCAGTAAGTGCCCAAAAGCTCATTCTATGGAAGAGCTGCAGGAATGGATGATGCGTGCTGCAGAAGAGAAGGAGATCAAACATAACATTCAAGCCCAGGGTCTCATGTCTTATAATGATATGCTCTTGGAGGAATACAAAAACAGCAGTAATGAAGTGTACATTGTAAGTATAAGGCTTGAATCCACTGTAAACAATCTTCATATTGTCTTGAAGAATTTTGTATTTGATAGGGTATGTTGGTGGATCAACAAGGTATGCTACAGTCTTTGGCAGCATTTCCATCACAGGAATTTTCTCCAGTTACTGAAAGCACACAGGCTGAAATTAAGCATAAGGGTAATGACTTTTTGCAACTGTGACATGTTGCAGCCCTTAACATTTTTGACTGACAAGGTTGTTGTTTCAGTCCAGGTTCTAGAATGAAATAACTTATGGTATGGCTGAAATTTGTGCTAAAGCCAACAAAGTGTGACCAGGCATGCTATAGCCAGAAGTGATAAATACAACTTGTGCTTTACATTTTGTCACAAAGTTTTTACAAGGATGGAAAAAAAATAATTTCTTGAGGAAATAGCCTGTCAATTTTCAATTTTTAAACAACGAGTTACAACATAAACCGCTTGCACACAAACATCAACATGTGCAGACTGCTCCAGTGTGTTATGGAGGGGTGGGAGTCATTATCTATGAATGGCAGCAAGTCTTGCCACCATTCTGTCACTGATCACCTCCACCAGAGTGGCGATCTCATGCCAACAACAGACTCGGCTTTCCTGATGAGTTTGTTTGGTCTGTTTGTGTCCTTTGCTTTAATGCCTGCACCAAAGAAGATGGTGCTCGCAACAACAGACTGATAAAATATATAGAGCAGCAAGCCTGCCCAGAGCATAATTAGCTGACTTAATGCAATGAATCTTACTTTTTACATGTTGATTTATGAGTAGAATTTTTTTATTCATCTTTTGACTATTCTAAATGATGTCTTTCACTTTTTCAAATGCTGAACAGATGTCTGAACATGTTGACGATGTCAGCATCTCTTGCGATGAAGATTCAACTGTGGAGTGTCAAGAGATTAATGCAACACTAAAATGGAATTTTCAAATTGAGACAGAGGTAAGACTTAATGTTTTTTTTATTTTCAGAAAACATGTTCATTGCAGTTTTTTTGTTTCAAGTGTGAAATTTGTGTTCCCTGTGTCCAAGCACAGGTTTCACTATTTTGGGACCACAGTCACGAAAATAGTGAAATTTGCGCAAAATTGGACTCACACAATCAGCATAAAAGAAGCCAAACTTTTCGTTTAATAAAATGTATCTCAGAATAATGACACTAATGGCAGAATCCTCCAGCCTTGAAACAACACATTTTCTAAACACTGTTTGAATGCTTGAGCCTTGATAGGGTCTAATAAGTCCAATTGCATCCTGGGGGAGGCTGGGGACCTGCAGTCTGAGTAGACCATGTTTAATTAACATCTCCTTTACAGAGGTAGCCTATTACAGCAGAAGCCTGAGAAGTTTACCACTGCTAGAAAACAGCAGTGATAGAGGAAGCTGTAAGGTTGAAAAAGGATTGGCTGGCACAGGGTTTTCCTGAAGCAAAAAACAGTTTTTCTTCAGTTACTACTGAAGAAAAAACATGGATGTATGAAGTGTCTAGGGGAGCTATAACTAAAGCTTTTTGTTTGGCCTCAAGTTCTAACAAACAATCTGGTAACTCAAGAAGGAGAAACAGGGCTTGGCTGTTCACACATGGAGACTGGTGATCCCAAACAGGAACTTGGTTTAATAGTGGAAAAATACTGGGGAGCTCCTGAACCCAAGCAACGCATCCTCAGTACAGAAGGCAAAGTCTGAAGACCTACCTGGGGGAAATCTTGCAAATTTTCCAGTAGTTAGTTGTGGTAGTTGCAAAACTCCTCAATGGCAAGGTGTAGGATGTGAATGAGATTTTGTGATGAGATGCTAAAGTCTCTGAATGTGGTTTAGGCTGACTCCCCGTTCAGTGTTGCGGAGAGGTACCTCAAAGGTGTTTTAAAGGGTCCATTAAGAAACATTAATTACTATGATTTTTAAATAATGGTTCATTGGTGATTAATAGTAAATTTATATGTCTGAATAAAAAAATATGTAAAAAAGAAAAATGAAAAAAGGTTGTTGTTTTTTTCCTTTTTCTTTTTTAAATAGTTTTTTATTTTTTGCTTTTATTTGAATAACAAGGATATTTCTGAGTAACCCCAAACATCTGAATGGTATTTTAGACTGAACAAAGTAGACTTTCAGGCTTTAACAGTTAGATCTTTTACCAAAACACTAATTTTGTGTGGTCTGGTTTCACTGCTCAATGCAAAATTTGTATTGCCCAAGAAAGGTTCGAATTATGTTACAGTATCCAAATTTGTGTTCAAACAGAGAGAGCTTGTGCATGTGGCATTGCTAAAGCAAGAACCAGGAGCTTCGTTCACCCTTGGTGATGCAGATTCCGAACCTTGCATCTACTCATCAGGTGAACCTTTTCTCAGGGAGGATGGGACCTATGACATTACCCTATCATTCACATCCATCAACCCAGGCTTGTACAGACAATGGTTAGTGCTTGATTTTGACATGAGACCAGTGCTCTTGAAAAAACTCAAAGTCAGAGTAGGCCATTCAGTAGTCACTGAACAACCAGCTGTGAGCAGTGGAGCAAGATTTCAGAGTTGTGAACGTTGGCACAGAGGGAACAGGATAATCATCCCATGTTCGTCGAGGACAGAAGAACAGGATGAGTTATTAAAGATGTACAAGCCTCCACAGATTAGTTTCCTGTATAAATCCTCCCACAACATTCAAACACCACTGAATAATGAAAACTACAAAGAAAGAATGCACCATTTCCTCTACAATGAAGAATGTGCAGAAGACCAGGTTGTTTCAAGGTAACAGGTTTTTGTATATCATTTAAAATTTTCTGTTTGAATTTGCACATATACTCAGTTGCCTAAGTTTTTTTTTTTCATATTTTTTTAGACTAAATGTTTGTGGAGAAATTACAGCACTGGATACATTATACAGTTTGCAGTTTGGTGTGGAGGCTCCTTGGGGGCAACTTTTTGGTGTTGTCTTGATTCCTTGTCACATTACACAAGACAGCCCTGAGGGACTGACACTACAACGAAGCATCCGATCTGCCCTGATAGCCCCTTTAACTTCTCGCCCAAACTCTAAAGTCTATGAAGCAAGCGTGTTGCCATACAAAACAACTGAGAATAAACTTTTTTTGCTACTGTCAAAGCAATGTTGCTTTGATCTTGCACTAAAAAGAAATGAATCATATCAAATGGAGGTGCAATTCCAGCTGGACCGCCTCAACTACTGCACCATGCACAGGGCTGTCGATCTTCTTCCCGATACAAAGACTGTGCTGCCAGTCCTTAAAAGTTGTGTAATTCCTGTTGGTAACATTACCTGTGAAAATCTCAACACAAAGCAGCAATTAGCAATTGAATTTATCACAGGGAATTCTAATGTCAAAAACTTTGTGGCACCCCTCCTGATTTATGGACCTTTTGGAACTGGGAAGACATTCACCCTTGCAACAGCAGCCAGAGAGCTTTGTAAGGATCCTCAGAACAAAGTTCTAATTTGCACCCACACCAACAGGTAATATATTGAAAATATATGCATCAGTCTGGGCAGTTTTCTCTTTATTCAAAGTTTGAATAATTTTAGACTTATTCAGAGTCTAAAATTGGGTTAAACTTTGTTCTAAAGTGAAGGGTTGGTATATCTCAGTTAACATTACACTTTGGTAATATTTCAACAACATTTTAATAACTATACATTTCTTTAAAGAACAAATCATTTCTGAGTAGATAGAGCAGGTCACTAACTAGAAGGCACTTAAGCACAGAAAAAAAATATAATCAAATGCTAACATTTACTTGTCATTTCCTTTCAGTTCAGCAGATCTATATGTCAGAGAACATTTCCATCCAATCATCAGCAAGAAAAATGGTGGAATCAGGCCAATCAGAATAAAAGCAAACAAACAAGGGACTGCTTTGCATGCTACTGATAGCATTACTTTGAAATACTGTCTCCTTTCAGAAGAAGGACATTATTTTCTACCACCTACAAAAGCTGCTCTAGATCAGCACAACATAATCATAACTACCACAACCATGGCAAGACATTTTCATGACCTAAATCTTCCAGAGGGATACTTCACCCACATTCTGATTGATGAAGCCTCTCAGATGCTAGAATGTGAAGCCCTAATGGCCCTTGGTCTTGCTGGGTCAAACACAAGAGTTGTTCTAGCAGGAGATCACATGCAAATGGGACCAAAGCTTTTGTCCGTGCCTGACCATGATCGTTCCAATCACACACTCCTCACTCGCTTGTTCCACTATTATCAAGGCCAAAACTGTGATGCTGCTAAGAAAAGCAGAATCATTTTGCATGAAAATTATCGCTCAACCAGAGAAATTGTGGAGTTTGTCGCCACCCATTTTTACGTTGGTAAAAATGATTTCATCAAAGCTGCTGGAGATGTTCCAGCTCCTACAAACTGCCATGCTCTGAAGTTTCACCATGTCAGGGGAGAGTGCCTCTTGGAGACAGTATCGATGTCTTGGTATAACAACGCAGAGGTGACAGAAGTGGTTGAAGTAGTGAAAGATATTCTTAAACACTGGCCAGCAAGCTGGGGTCACAAGGACCAAAGCTCAATCTGCATTCTGTCAGAGGGATTTCAGGTAATAACTTTTTGTGTTGAGTCCAGTTATAATCAGACTAAAAGATAAACATTAATCACAGTAATGATAAATACAGGACTTTAAGATTAATTTCAAGACACACATGTAAAGATATGATTAATAACATTTAATGTTTTTTCATTGATTTCCTTGATTTATAGGTTCCTCGAATTAGGACAGCACTTTCAAGCAGAAACCTTGCAAACATCAAAGTTGAGAGACTTGCAAATGTTCAAGGTAAAGACCCCTTGCCAGATTCTTCATTACTGTAGACAGAAAGGTAGTCTAAACTAACATCGCTATTATTAACATTTTCAAATAACACCTTGCATGTGTCAACAGGAAAACAGTTCAGAGCAGTCATAATGACAACTGTGCAAACACGTGACAGCCTAAAAACATCTCACCTGCCTGGTCTGGAGATGTTCAATGATGCCCGTGTTTTAAACACTGCGATGACAAGGGCTCAATCCCACGTGGTTGTAATTGGAGATGCTGCCGCCCTGTGTTGCTTTGGGAAATGTTCAGGAATCTGGAAGAGTTTCATAAACCACTGCATCAACAGCAACAGTGTTGCACCACAACATTTCACTAAAGAGTTCTTTGAACAAGATATTATGGAAACTGTAAAGTTTCAGAAGTTCGAACATGTGGATGAGAGCCATACTCTAGATGATGCGATTCTTAAAGAGCTGAAAGATGATTATGAGCAACTGAAAGCAGATGAAGACAGTTTGGAATTTCAGATGACCTTTTCAAATCACGATGGGTCAAGGGCACTATACAATTTCACCGATACTGGCACAGATCTTTTAAAGATGTGTAAAAAACAACCGGAGATTTACAAACATGGGAAGTTTTTCAGGGAATCACACAGGAAAGGCTACGTCATACCATTTCATAATCCGACCAAACAAATAAGCATCGTGGGACAGGCAAATCTTGGTAAGGCCTTTACTGGAGATCAAGTGGTCCTCCACAAAACAGAAGTTGTAAGCATCACCAAGAAAGAAGAATCAGCACGTGTACTTCTGTGCCTGCTTGAGGATGAAGATCACAGCAAATCACGACAGAATTCTGAAAGCAAATTTATCAGAAGGATGATGATACCGATAAAAAAATCGGAGCCCAAAATATGTATACTGATTTTAAAGAAGAAGCGCAACTATATGCCAATATGGGAGGAAATTGATGGAGAATGGACAGTTGCAACACAAAAGTATATTGATGAAAATCTAAAACAGAACAGTCTATTCAAGGTGCAAGTGATTTGCTGGAACAAAGACAATTTTTTTCCATTGGGGTACATCATAGATATTCTTCCAGTTGGCAGCTCTTTGGATTCTGGACTAAAGATCCTGAATGAAGAATTCAAAGTTGCATACCATCCATGCAAATCAGACAAGGCTGTTTACAACACTGATGAAAACAATACAAACAGACAGGACTTGCGTAAGATAATCACTTTTACTGTGGATCCTGCAAAAGCAAAGATCCTGGATGATGCTATCAGCGTCAGGGAACTTGAAGATCATTACGAATTGGGACTCCATATTGCTGATGTGGCAAGTGTTGTGAAGCCAGGTGATGATTTAGATAGGGCTGCAGAACAAAGTGGCACTACCTACTACTGTGCTGAGGAGAAACCTATTTACATGTTTCCCCAGGACTTGAGCATTCAACTCAGTCTGCAAGAAGGTCAAGATCGCAGGGTGGTCTCACTGATGTTCAAAGCAGAAAAGGATACAAATAAGATAACAGGAAAACCCAAATTTCAGCTGTCTACAATCAACTCTGACAAGCAGCTGTCATATTTAGAGGCAGAGGACATCATCTCCAAAAGCTATAAAGAGACCCCCAAATGTGATACTGTTGAGCATTGTGTAACGGTTGCTTATTGTTTTGCAAAAGCTCAAAGGAAGATAAGACTTGAATCTGATTGGGCTTATTCTCAAACCGATGCTGACAGATTGCCCGGGCAGCGCAAAGCACATCTGATGATTGAAGAGCTTGCTGTGTTATTTAACCAACATGCATCCAAGACTTTGATCAGCTGTGACAAAACCAGGTATTCCACACCACTTCGCTGTCAGGCAAAACCAGATCCTGTAAAGGTAGAAGAATTCAAAGAGGAATGTGGAGAATTTATACCATTGTCTTTTCTCGTGCGGCACAAAGTAGACCATGAACAACAAAGCCCAAAGTGTCAAAACTTTCGCATACTCCCTGAAGTGTGGAAAGAAATTGTTGCAGCTACCAGAACAGATGATACAGACAAAATGATAGATCTAGTTGCTGCTGACGAAATCCACCCTCTGGTACAACCAGTCACTCAAAAGTTCAGAAGGTGCTTCAGTAAAGCTTACTTCATCTGTTCAAAATCATCTCCTGAGGCAGAAATAGGGCATTATTCTCTGAACCTAAAGTCTTACACAAAAGCTTCCTCACCAATACGGCAGTACATGGATGTCATCTTGCAAAGACTCTTGCATTCTTACATATGTAATACAGATGTTCAATACACTAAATCAAAGATCATGGCTTTGTGCAGTCAATTTCAGGAGAGCCTCAAGAATGCCGAGAAGTATGAACAGAAGGCTGAGCAAATTTCATATGCAGTGAGCATGAAAAAACAAAGTGCTTCAAAGATAGCCTTTGTTGTTCATGCAAATCCTGAAGAAGACAGTTTTGCAGTAGCATTTCCCTTTAACAAGAACATATTTGTTGGGAATTTGCGAATTATGTACAAAGATTTGCAACTAGACGATCAACCATTTTACGATGAAGAAAAACACAGTGTCACTCTTAAATGGAAAAGGCGGATCTATTCAGCTGATGCCATGCAAATCCACCAAGAGCTGAAAATGATGGCAGATAGTCATCCTTGCATTGAGGTTCCATTGAGAGTATGGAAAGATACTATTGAGGCAATTGACAATGGAAAATTAGATCATGCAAAGCGTCTCATAATGCATGCTGATGCTGATTTGAAGGAACTGGGAAAACAAACTGTTTTGCCTCAGTCCTCTGAAGGTTACTATGTTCAGGCTGAAAAGTGTCTCTCTGAGGAGCAAGAAATACCAGAGATGCAAACTGAGCATTTTGTTGACATCCAACTCGAGTTGCAGCCAGGTGACATCCTACAGGTCCAATTGACTTCAAGCATTAAAAGAGGTTATCAAATGCCCACTGTTCAGTTGGTACACATTAAACCAAAGTTTGAAATGTGTGTTGACCATGTCAACAGCCCTATCACATGCTTCTCCAGATTGGCAGATATTCCTTCAAGGACTCATTACAATGATACCAAGGAGTATATACGGATCTGGAAACCTTTGTGTGAGATGGAATCTGCTGCCAATGCAGTGAATGAAAGTGATATCATTATCATTGAGAACCTCCAGGTAAAGTTTAACCAAGAGTTGGAAGGCATACTCAAAGGAAGCTTTTTCTTACCGCTACAATGGATCAACGAATGGGCCATTGAATTTAACCTTCGAAACTGCTTTCTGTGCATACGGAAAAGAGGTCTCAAACTGGAAACTTCAAATGTGGAAACTTCAAACGTGGAAAATTCCACCCTGGTAGACCCAAAAGAGTTCACATGGGTAGCCCATGGTTTCACAAGTAATGCAGAAAAATTAAAAAATGGTGGAAGTAAAGTGGAGTTCTACATTAGTCACCTGCCTATGGAGACCATTCCTGAATGTGTTTTTCAGAAAAACACTCATTTCACTGTTGAAATCATTCCAAAACTCATCCCTGACATGTAAGTTCAATTGTAGTTCAGTTTTATATTACATTGCTTACTGGATAGTTGAAACTTTTTTTCAGTTACAAATTTTCTTATTTTGATTGACACTGATTTACTTCTTTATTTATGTAGCCGGAAAGAAAATGCTGTAGTCAACATTACATCGGCATGTGACTTTGTTAAGGCTATAGCACTAGGGCAGCGCATTCCAAAAGAGGGTATGTCCATCATTCATCAATAAATAGTTTGATACTTATATCCACATTAGTTACACAGAAAATTACAAGCTCCAAACCCAGAATTTATTTAAATCTTTCGCATTGTCTTTCAGTTAAATCAAGCTTAAATATTGTGAGGAGAAACATAAATGGACTGCCAGAGCTGAACCAGAGCCAGCATCGTGCAGTAGATAAAGCTCTAAATAATACCTTCACACTGATACAAGGACCCCCTGGTAGGTGTGTCAACTTGTGTACCTTGATGGTTCATATTTTCTGCTAAGTCTTAAACCATTTTCTTTGCCTCTTAGGAACTGGAAAAACAGTAGTAGGTGTGTACATTGTACACAGTTTTTTTGAGCACAACTCTAAAAACAAAATGAAATTGGATGACCCAAAGGATAAGGAAAAGAAAAAGGTCATTCTCTACTGTGGGCCATCCAACAAGTCTGTTGATGTTGTAGCAGGCAAGTTATGTTGATTCTCTGCAGAATTTAATCTCAATTTCATCTTTGAAGTGGTCATCAAAACCCGTCGTGTTCCGTGTGTCTTTTATTGCTGTAACACAGGGTACTTAATGAGGTTTAAGGACAGCCTAAGGCCCCTCAGGGTTTACAGCCAAGAAGTGGAGATGCTTGATTTCCCCTTTCCAGACTGCAAGCTGCAGTTTTCCCAAAGAACCCTTCGCCAAGATCATTCCAAACCAGAGCTCAGGTACTGCAATCATATCAGTTGGTGACTAACTGCTTTTGGATTGTTTTGTTGATTGTTAATATAACACTGGCCTTTTTTACATTAATTTAGGGATATCACTATGCATCACCGCATGCGTCAGGACCAAAACATTTATTCAGTTCAAATAAGAGACTTTGATAAACGTATTAAACTTGCTTTTGAAAAAAAGGGAGAACTGACTGCTGAAGAAGTGAAAGAGTAAGTTTTTTTTTTTTTTTTTTTTTTTTAGTGCCTGAAACATTATTTTTTGACCATTTAAATTAATGTATTGTTGGAAGATTTTGGAACATTTTTTAAATAAATGTTAGTGAAACTATTATTTGCAATAAAAGCAATCAATTTTGCATAAAAATCAGTTGAAGGAACTGTATGGATTGTTTTCCTAGATACAAAAACCTTCTCAGAGACGCTCGGGCATATGAACTACAACAGCATGACATCATACTGTGCACATGTACGCAGTCTTCCACCCCAGTCTTGACTAAGACTGTCACTGCACGTCAAATTCTAATTGATGAGTGTGCTATGGCCACTGAACCCCAGGCCCTGATTCCACTAGTCTGCAACAAACCAGAAAAGGTTTGGACATCATCAAATGCTGTGTTTCCTTCCTTGAGTTGCCCTGCTAGGCCTTTATAGAAACCACTGCTGCCTGTTCTGAGGTCTTTCTGCATTCTGTCTTCTTTAATAACTAAAAAGCATGCTCTCTTGGACTGAAACCAGGGGGTTTAAAGAAGTTTATAAAAAGAACCCCCATCAGTACTAAATGTGGTTAATAAGTAAAAGATAAAATGATGTTGCTTCATATTGCTGACAAGACATTTAAAAAAGATATACTTTTGCACAGAAACACACTAAGCAGTTTTCTGTTGGTTAGAAGTGTAAAACAAGGTTCAAGTGGTTCACCTAGGACTACTACTTCATTTTCATTTATGACTACTCCTAACTTCAGGGTATGATTTTTTGTAAATAAGACCCCAAAAAAGAGGGTGCCTCATCGCTGCTTTGACAGTAGTCACTCTATTGCTAGTTACTCACTCTGTCTTACACTATCACCAATATAACTTTCAGATTGTTTTGATTGGGGACCACAAACAGCTACGACCCATTGTGAGGAACGAATTTGTGAGGAAGCTTGGAATGGCCAAGTCTCTGTTTGAGCGCTACTATACAATCCATGAGAAGAGGGCAGTTATGCTGGACATCCAGTACAGAATGGTAAGAACATTAACTTTACACGATGTATAGCACATAATAAATATACTGGATTACAAAAGTTTAAGACCACATCAAAAATCTAATCTTACCATATTAAAGTTTTTATATATGCTAAACTTAATAAAGTACACACACATGCGCAATCCTGTATGTGTGTGGGGGGAATAGAACAAGAATTTAAACAGCAGATTAGTAAAATTGCCCGTGGGAACACATTTGTAGCCTGCCATGGAAGTAGGTTTCAAGTGATTCAGGTAAATTTGATCTACTCAACAGAGGCTTGTTCAAATCAATAATTTTGCTGTCATTATTCACCTGGATGCTTGACCTGCATGTCAGTCAATTTTTCATCAAAACATTGTTGGAAAAGTAAAACATCACTGACTATGTGGGGGTATAAATATGGCCTCAGTTATCAGATTTGAACAAACTTTTGGAGTCTCTGCAGCTCTATAGTTAAAGGGGGCCAAACAAATACGCTGTAACTATTTACTACTGACAGGTTTCACAGATTCACTCAAATCTTACTCACTCCATTCCTCACTCAAATTGTTTAGATAGAGAGTATCTTGCCTATATTAAGTCTAATTGACAATGCCAGATTAACAATTTGTTAGTATACTTATTAGTATAAGTATCTTGCCAAGTGGTCTCATACTTTTGGATTGCACTCTTTATACACTACATTGACTACCACATTCAAATTCTAACTAAACTGTTATTTACTTTGATAGCACGAGGACATATGTAAGTTCCCATCAAATGAATTTTATAATGGAAACCTGAAAACTGGAGTGGAACAGCAGAGGAGTGTCTTTCAAGTTGACCACAAGACAAAACCCATTGTTTTTGGGGATGTCAAAGGAAAGACGATAAGTCTAGTTGTCAACACAGCCCAAGGCAACCAAAACTCTAAAGCTAATCTTGAAGAGAGAAACAAAGTGGTACAGTATTGGATGTTCTTTTGTTTCCTCTTAAACAGTAACATTTAAATATAAAAAAGCAAAAGTTACTGTAAAGCTACTGGATGCTCAACTATTTCAATTTGGTTCTCTTGCAGATTACCATTGCTGAAAAGCTAGTGAAGACTGCCAGAATTGCACAGCAAAGTATTGTGATTTTATCACCTTATAATGCCCAGGTGTCAGAAATCAGGAATGAGCTGAAGAAAAAGAAGATGGAACAAATCCCAGTTACCACGATCACAAAAAGTCAAGGTGAGCTACTCTGTTACCCAACCACAAAACCTTTCCTAAAGTTTCCTAAAGAGGAAAGGCTTCAGAATATGTTTCAAAATATAGTAAAATATATTTAGAATAAATAAAACATTAAAACTATATCAAAATGTAATATAAGATAAACAAAACATAATTTGGAAAAAAGCCAACAGAACAAAAAAACTGTTCAGTTTAAAAAAGACCCATGTGTTGTAGTTTGCAGTTTGTTTTGGAATATAAAAGCAAATATAACTGACTTCATTTAATTCAGTTGACATGGAATTCTTTTTCTGGGTATGATTCAGGAATTTTTCACAAAATCATGAAACCAGAAGAACTACAACAAAGGATAATAACTAGGAAATTGGGGGATTAGGATCAGTTTGCATAATAAGCAATACTCAAAAGTGTCAAAGGATAGACACAGGAAAAAGTCAGTTATGCTGTTTAATGATAGCAAAATATGTGACAACAGTCTTGTCTTTTAGGAAGTGAATGGCGTTATGTCATCTTATCTACAGTGTGCTCTCTACCAAATGAAGAAATTGAGAAACAACCAGAAAGAAGCTGGCTTTCCAAACATCTGGGCTTTGTTGGTGATCCCAATCAGATAAATGTAGCCATCACCAGGGCCAAGGAGGGACTCTGCATCATTGGTGAGATAATGCAGCTGTGCAGATCTGTTTTTAAGAATTATGCAGACGTTGCTGAGCTCCTAATATACAGTTGTCTAAGAAAATCACTCTTGTTTACACTATTAATTGAGTTGTGGATTTTTTGAAATTACTACCACTGTCATATTCCTAACCTAGTTTCACTGAATAACCAATAACGATTATTTTAAAGCATGTTTTAAAACATTTTGGTAATTAAAACCTAAAATGTATTCAGTTATAAATATAATTTATTATTGTGTAGAGTAAACTATTCAATTCTTCATTATTGATACTCATAAGTCATAATAAGTTTTAATTTTAAACATTCACAATGCTACTTGTACATGGCAAATACCTCACCTGAGTAAAAAGTCTGACTTTGGTGCGTTGTCTGCAATTTGTAGGCAGCTTGTATGCAGGAGGCCATATTAGCAGTTGTAGTCTTGTTTCATATTTGCTTTTTGGGTGGTAAATGATGATGCAAATCAGCTGTATTGCCACTGTATTTTTGGCGAGACGTTTTTATACAGGTCAGTTTGATGACCAGATCATTATCTAGTTTTCAGCATCACTTTTTAAAAGTGGATGTTTCTAAATTCAGCAACATTACAAAGATGAACGAAGCAGTCTCTAACATGTGTCTATTGTTTCAAAGGTGACCAAGAATTGCTCATGTGCAGTCCAACTTGGAGACATCTCTTGAACCACTACACTCTTCACAATGCAGTGACAGGTGCAGACAAGATTTCAGTGTGTTCAGCCACCTGATTGATTCTGTGCTTTGTGAAGTTTGCAGCAGCAGACCAGAGCTCCTACGGGGAAGCTAGTACAATTTTATGATTTTTTTTTATGTCATTAGTTTTCTTCTTTTTTTTCAGTTCTGTTTTTAAGTTTATATTGGAAATATTTCTTTTATAACATTCACCTTACTCATTTGAAATATGAATAGTAAGTAGGAAATCCTACAACACTTCATTACATGAATTGCAAATATTGAATTTTGTATCACAGTGGATATTTCAGTTGTGTATCGCTAGCAGGAGACTTGGCATGTTATTATAGATCTTTTAAGTTAATTTAGGTATACTTGAGCTGTATGAACTATCAAATTGTCAGTAGTTCCTGCTTATTGATGAATTATTTTGTTTTCTTACCTGAAACCTTGGTTTAGCACTTAAACAGCCTCACCATTCAGTGAGCCTGTCACTGTTTTTAAGGAAATATTATAATATTGCTTTTTTTTTTAATTTTACATTTTTTTATATTGTATCTTCAGGGATCAGCTTTAGCTGGAATTTTGGACCAAAATCCTGGTTGTTTGTTGTATTGTTGTATGTATTGACATGTGTAAATTATAAGTTTGAATTTAAATGATATTGCTCCTTTATACCATGTTTCACATTGAACTCTGTCTTCAAATATATAGTGTAATAGTAATAATGCTCTCAAATTGATCAATATTCACTGTGGGTTTTGTCTTTGATTGGCTAATGAACTGTATTGAATAAATAATTAATAAACTGCTCAAAAAAATGTAAACACATCCAAACTCAATCATGCTGGATATCTTTGGTGATAAGGACTGTTAAAAATGAAACAGTGCCACATTTATTTTGATGGAAATTAAAATCATCAGCTTACAGAGGGAAAAATTCAAAGACATCCAAAAAATAAAAGTAAAAACAATTTGCATGCTAGTCCATTTTGCCAAAGTTTCATAGAGCCATTCAAAATGGTACTCAAAATAGTGTGCACTATTGAGCCTGACAGTGCTTTGTAATGAGCTTTTTTAAAAGGAAAAAAGCTCATTACAAAACAAAGCTTCTTCGTTAGCCCTCATGCCATCTCTTTTCAACACCAAAAATATTACTCAAGAGGACAGCAGCTGAAATATGAAATCCAAAGATTCTGAACTGATCGTGCCCTGGGGGATCTCCTCCCAGACTTGTATCAGGGCATCACTGAGCTCCTGGACAGTTTGAGGTAGCATTGGATGGCCTGAAACATGCTCAGATGAGTTTGGGGGCCAGTTGGTGATATCAAATTCTTCATCCTCCAAGAACTGCCTGGATAGTCTCACCACATGAGCCTGGACATTGTCGTGCATGACCTATGCCACCAGCATAGGGTCTCACAATGGGATTTCATCCCCATACTAATGGCAGTCAGGGTTCTGTTGCCTAGCCTGTAAAGGTCTGTCCCTGGATATACCGCCCCAGACCTACCACCAAACCAGTCCTGTTAAACAATGTTAAAGGGAGCATAATAAGCTCCCAAGCCCTTTTGATGTCTGTCACATGCACTCGGGGTGAACCTGTTCTCATCTGTGAAAATCACAAGGTGCCAGTGGTGTACTTGCCAATTCTGGTATTTTATGACAAATGCCATTCAAGCTCCACAGTACAGGGCAGCTCACTAAATGACACCAGGCCCTCAAGCCACCCTTGTGAAGTTTGCTTCTGATTGTTTGGTTAGATATACTGTATTTAAACCAGCCTGGGTCACTTTGTAACTCTGGTGCTCCTGTGTTGCTTCTTGCACAAAGAAGCAGACACTGGTCCTACTGGTGGGTTAAGAACCTCCTATGGCCCTGTCCAGCTCTCCTAGAGTAACTTCCCATCTCCTGGAATCCTCTCCATGCTGTGCTGGACACACAGCAAACCTGTTGAAAATGAAACACATTGATGTACCATCCTGAAGGAGTTGGACTACCTCTGCAGCCTCTGGAGCATCCAGGTATCATCTCATGCTACCAGTAGTGACATTGATCATATTCAAATATAAACCTATGAAAAAACTGCTGGAAAAGATGAGGAGAAAATTGTCAGTGGCCTCCACCATTCCTCTGTTGTGGGTTTCTTATCCTTGCCATATAGTGCAAGGATAAGAATAGTGGTAATTTCATTAACAACAAAGCAGCTGAAACTGATTAATAACCTCCTCTAATACAAAGCTTAATTGACTTGATGCTATACTCAGATTAACAATGTAGTATATATGGAAACGCTTCGAGCAGAGAACCCATGTCAGTACAAGCTTCAGTGTTTCGTAAAGCTTAATTTGTCCCTTACTGCAGTGCAATTTCAAGACAGCTGCGATCAACTCTCCCACTTTTCCTTAAGGATGACATTTTTATCCAGGTCATGGACGGGGATGGAAGTATGCCTTCAGCGAGGGACACGCCCACGAAATCATCTATTGAAATCATGCAGGAGGATTAGAAGCCAAGCAAATATAAACAATCAATCTAAATGTTAAACAGATGTTTAAACAGAAATTAAATTTTCTGTTAATATCAGCAAATTAAATATTTACAACATGCATAATTCATAATTCAATACAATTTAAGTACTTGCAGGGCCAGTCACCTTTTTCCATGTTCACTGTGACATTAAGTTTTGTAGCTACAACACCAATAGTAAAATTCTCACGGAAGCAGCAGAAAAAAAGGAAGTGTGTGTGTGTGTGTGTGGAGAGAAAGGGACAGACTGTTATGTAACGCAGGCCTTGCCTTTTATTGTGAAGGCCTTTGCCGGAAATGCTTAGTGTTTCCTCACTGTCGTTTCTTCCTGTTTGTGTTTCGTGCGATATCGTTCCACATTGCTGTGGAAGTTTTCTGTGTTCTCTGTAGAAAGGTGACGAGACACACGGGAACTGTTGCTGGAAAAATGTGACCGTTTTTGTTGAAAGGATGAGCGATTGTCGCGCGGACACCGTCGGTGGGGATAACTGGCGGAGACGTACAAGGAGTGCGCGAGCGTGCTGCAGACAAACCACCGAAGCGGGAGTTGACGAGTCCAGCGTGCTTCGGTGTCTGAACGTGGGAAACACGGAAGAGGACCATGACATGGAGGAGGACACCAGCCTCTTCAAGCAGGACGGCCTGGAGCAGAAGGTCATGGCGCCCCGCTATAGTCTGCTGCGGGAGGTGGGAAGGGGAACGTACGGCGTGGTGTACGAAGCTCTGGCCCGGAGATCGGGTGCTAAAGTTGCTGTAAAGAAACTGCGGTGCGACGCGCCGGAAAACGTGGAGCTCGCCCTGCAGGAGTTCTGGGCGCTAGCAAGTCTAGAAAAAAGGCATCAAAATGTTGTTCATCTAGAGGAGTGCGTGCTGCAGAGGAACGGTATGGCACAGAAAATGAGTCATGGAAACAAACTGTCCAAGCAGTACCTGCGCCTGGTGGAGACATCATTAAAAGGTGGGGGTCGCTCTCGCTTAGCCCTACAGCTTTACCTGTTTGAGCTGAGATTAGATAAATTGGATAAAAGATGTGTTCACAATTAGTGCCGAAATAAAATAGCATCCTAGGTATTAGATAGTTGTGCTGTGTAGCAACATGTTTTGCTTTTAGGTTAATGTAACCAAAATAAGAGGATTATTCAGTGTACTTTTGACTTTACGTTCTAAGGACGGGGCACTGCGTCAGATTTAGATATGGATTTGCTGCTTGTGCCACGGTTTTGTCATATTTTGCTTCAATTACTAATCATTGGGGTTCATTAGTTTTCAGTTTCAGTTCTGGCTTGGTCACAATTTGGATCACTGGTGACCTGATTGTTACCCAGAGGAGGCTGTTTAATCTTGCTGGTTTTACTTTTTGTGATTCGTGCCTTGTGCTGGCCTGTAGCTATCTTTTAAAGGCCCATAATAAGGTTCTTATGCTTGCAAAGGTTAGTTTGGAGGGTTAGCTTTGTCATTATAGCACAGTTGTTTTTGTCGCCATGACACAGACTCGCTGGGGGATGGGTAGATTTTGACACACTAAAATGGAGTCTGTTGCGTTGCTTGTGTTAGAGGTAATTTTCACATTCCACTCACAATCCGTGCACTTAAGACAAGTTTACACTTACACCGTTTTTGCTTTGTTGGTTTAGCCTGTCTCGGTGCCATCACCTCCCTGGCGATGCTATCACCTCCCTGGCGATGCTTTCTTTAAACGCACAGTGACAATGTTATCTTAGGACAGTTTATCTCAGGCCCACCAGTCATTGATTGGTAGGTTTTCTCAGTAGAAGTGGCTTTTGATATGTGTATTAACATACACCACATCTGTGTTCTTCTTTCATAAGGGGGGGGGTGTAGATATGTCTCACCATTTACTTAGTTTACTTATGTAACAAGTACAAAAACCCCATCAAAGATTATTGCCTCAAGAAGATCAAAGAAGACGTGGGCAGTTTGCCTTGGATTAAAAACTGTGTTATGGGGCAATCGTGGCTCAAGAGTTGGGAGTTTGCCTTGTAATTGGAAGGTTGCTGGTTCGAGCCCCGGCTTGGACAGTCTCGGTTGTTGTGTCCTTGGGCAGGACACTTCACCCGTTGCCTACAGGTGGTGGTCAGAGGGCCCGGTGGCGCCAGTGTCCGGCAGCCTCGCCTCTGTCAGTGCGCCCCAGGGTGGCTGTGGCTACAATGTAGCTGCCATCACCAGTGTGTGAATGTGTGTGTGAATGGGTGGATGACTGGATGTGTAAAGCGCTTTGGGGTCCTTAGGGACTAGTAAAGCGCTATACAAATACAGGCCATTTACCATTTCTTTACAAAGTATTTATAAAATTTATTAACTTTTGTTTTTCTACAAGAAAACATAAGCTATAGACTGGTTGTTCAACACCTTTTTGACACTAATTCTTAGTGACATAAAATATTCCCACAGTGTACTGGTAACACATTTTCTTGGTAAGTGAAAGGTTAATTTCAGGCAGAGACGCAAATCCCCTTTGGGGTTGCGTCAGGAAGGACAGCAGGCATAAACTCTGGCAAGTCAAACTACGTGACAAGGGAAGCATCTAAAAGTAGGTTTTCCTAAAGACATGTATAACATAGACTCGATAATACACAACCACTTAAAAGAGAGTACAAATAATGTAGCAACTTGTCAGTACAGCATAGAGCAGGGCGATATGACCAAAAATATTTATCACAATATACATTTCAGGGCTCTCAAAATTTCAAAATCCCTGGTAGCCCTTCGGGCAGGGACTCTTCAGTTTTTGGTAGCCCAAAATAAATTTAAGTAGCCCGAATAAAAAAAGAGAGCAATTTTTTGATTAATGTTTTGTTTCCGTTATAATATTATACATTAAAGTATAATATTGTAACGGAAACAAAACATTAATCAAAAAATTGTTGAAACACAAATTACAACATTGTATAAAAATTACAATCATCAACTTAAATACTTGGTTCTAATTGAACAGAAATTTCTATGAACTTGTAAGAACTGTGTAGTAGGGCTGCTCGATTATGGCAAAAATGATAATCACGATTATTTTCACTGAAATCGAGATCTCGATTATTTGACGATATTTATTTAACAATAACAATGTATTGAATAATGACTTTAAAGACTGTCAAAAAATAATATAAAATAGTGTGCAAATACTGATAACAGTGCAAATGTTTGCAATATAAAAAATAAATGAAAAATGTAAACATCTGTTTAGTGAACTTTGCAGTGTTGCTCTGTGGTGCAGCTACGACACTGTAGCAAAGTTTACACACTATGTCTACTTGATCCACGTCTGTTTTTTTGTTTTTTTTTTCTTTTTTTTACC